TTCATAAAGGATAGAAATATACCAACATACATTACGTGAATATTTAAGTGTTTACAAAACGTTATGCATTCTTGTATATTATATTTGTCATAGAAATATAGTCAAATAGTATGCAAAAATAGGTTCAATTCCACTCGAAAGAGATTGTTGGATAAATTAAAAACATTAATTCTTCAACCAATTCATCGTGTTATCGAATTGTGAAATAGAGGTTAAATGTGAACTTGTTTGGTGATTCGGGATCCTAGTGCTTTTTCATACATTAATTTCTTCAACCTTTTGCATTCAAGATCATTTTGCATTTATTTAGTAACCTTAGTTTAAATTTCATTCTAGTCTTANCATTCATTAATTTAATCAAACTTTTGTATTCAAGATCATTCTCTATTTATTTAGTAACCTTAGTTTTAATTGCATGTTAGTCATAGTTTAGTTATAAAAATTCAAATCTACAACCATCTTGAGTTTAATAGATTCGGTTAAGATTTGTTAATAGAAATCAAATCAAATCAAATCAATTCTCGTGGGACGATACTCAAAATTTTATAATTTTCACTTTATTACTTGTTAACGAATCGTGCACTTGCGGTGATTTACAAAGCGAACATATTTTCGTACAACATTTATCAATTGCAGTGTCGTGAAAATGACTACTAGCCCTTCAAAAGCTTTTATATGTATACTTGTCACAAGCGGTGGAGAATGCATACTTACAAAGCAACTTGCGTGTCTCATAAAACACATTTGTCATAATCATAATTGACATATACTCCACTTATGAACGTCGGTTGCCTGCGGAAATTTATGAGACTTTCAACTGCAACTTCCTGGAGTTGGAGGGAACTTTTTGTAAGTGTTATGCCCTAGGTCCAATCAACTTTGGACATAAACACTTTGAATATATATATAATCAATGCATATGTATGGCAATATCTATTATTTAATTGAATTAATATTCTAATAAATTAAATAATAGAATCCGTAGATTCAAGTCTTGGTGATTTGTTAATCACAAGGAGTTGTGATTGTGAGATACAAA